TTGCCGGCGGGGGGTGGGGGAGGGGGGCGCCCGATATTTTTGCTAATATCGGTCATCATTAATTTGAAGGGCACAGTCTGGGGAACAGTTCTGCTATAAGCTCATGGTCCCTAAAGCGACCATGAGCTTATAGCAGAACTGTAAATGCCACTGACGTAAGGCATACTGAGCTGGCCAGCCGGAAACACTTTTGTTCCGCCGTAAGCCTTACGGTGGTGGCAGCGAAAGGGTTGATGGAATGAATTACTGCTCCCATAAATCCACAATGTCAATACTGGACCACAATGACCCAATTCACTTCTATATTAGAATGAACAAAACTCAGCAGAACAGTCAAAGAAAAAAAGGCAGATGCCTATAGAACCTGCAGCACCACTGAAGAGATACCACCTTGCCAGAAGTTGTCATTCCCACTTCTTTATTTGTACTGTCTTGGTATTTTAAAGCCTCCAAAAAAGTGATAGGCAGTCAAAACATCCGGGTTCTCCAATTTCTCATCAGCTTCCTCTCACACAGCTCTGACTCCCCAGAGATCAGCTTAGTTTGTTCTCACCTTCATTCATTGAGGCTGCTGAACCATTGGAGATGACACCTTACTTGGAGCCATCAGTCTTCCTCACAAGCATGTGGGAGCAGAACTCCATGTGCACACATCTGATTGATTGATCTATAGTAAGGAACTCTTCAAGTTGTGACATGTTACATAATGATATCTATCTATTGTATGGTCTGTTTCAGGATATGTGGAAGGAATATTTTTGAATATTTTAACTTTTTTATCTAATGGCTTGAGGAGATATTTGCCTCTTTCTAATAAACTAACAATAGCTATATTTTGACTCATCTTTGTTATTTAGTGTGGTTTCACATACTAGTTTATGGGATGGGGAATGCTATAAGCTTTATACACTGAGTGGCCAGATTATTCTAACCACCCCATCAGTACTTCGTTGGGCCGCGAGATAACTCTACGAGATGACTTCGTTGGGCCGCCTTGTGACTCCACGACATGTTGAAAGGTGATGCGAGGAATCTGACACTGCACTGCTGCCCTTCTGTTGTCTTGTACCAGTCTTGCCACTCTCCGTTCTGCCCTAACATTGACTAGTCGCTGACGGCCACAATTTGCACGTTCAGACCCAGATTTTCGGCTGACAGTCCAGTCTTTAAACACTTTAACAACAGCTGCTCTTGAACATTTAACTAATTCTGCTGTTTTGCTGATACTCGCTCCATGGCTCCGAGCGCCAACAGTCATCCCACGTTCAAAGGCTGTTAAATCGCGTTATTTAACCATATCTTCAGAAAAAATCACTTCTACTGTCGTGGTAAACAATCTGCTTCCCTATTTATAATGGTCTGGCCCTCTAGCAACTTCAGCGCAAAATTATAGCTCATTAGCCTACAAACGTCAGGTGGTCATAATAATCTGACCACTCAGTGTATATATAAACGTTTTCTCTGTACATAATTCTTGAAGTCTGGGTATCTTGGTTTTTGGTATAGTTTTTTTGTTTAAAGGTGGACATTGTTCCATTGGGCTGATATACCTTCCACTCTATATGACAAGTTAATCGCTGTCAATGTGTTCTCTCCTCCTATCAGCATTCTTTTGATTAGCACATGATTTTTTACTTGTGCTGTGTCTCCCTCCCCATCCGAGCTCTGCTGTATAGGGGATACTCAGTGGCCTAATACTTTTAATGGTGAATTAATAAATACAGAGTTGGATTACTTGGTGTCTTTTATATCTGATTGGAAGGCAAATGTAAGTAAACTCGAGTTTGTTTCTATTGTTTTAGAGCAGCTCTGAAATGAAATTGTGTTCCAGCCATAGGAAGTAGTAAAGAGGCATTGACGCCATGACACATTCTCCTTTGACGCCGTGTTGTGTTCTCGCTAGAAAGCTTCAGTAAAATGTGACTTTAGGGCAAGCTATGCATCTTCTGACTTCACTGGAGATAAATTCCAAAACATAAGTATGTACTGTCATTTCTTAGCCATGGTCACTGGGAGTTACACCAGTTCTGGTAAAAACATACTAAGATCTATCATAAACATAAAAGCAGAACTCCGGGGGAAAACTATTATTAACCCCCTGCAGTGGGCTACCCTTGTACTGCGAGCGTAAGGTGCTCATTTTGGTCTATGAAAATAAAATAAAGTTATTACTCACCTGATCCTCTGAGCCAGCCGGCTGTGACAACGCTCCTTCCTGCCTGTCTCCTTCTACCCTCCTGCAGTGATGGTATGGGCCTTGGCATCCTCACATTCTATACACTGTATAGAACGTGATGATTGCAGGACCTTAGAATGCTGCAGTGGAGGGGGAGAGAGGCTCCAGAGACCCCGAAGCTAAGAGCAAGCCAGCTCCTAGGATCAGGTGAACATAACTTTTATTTTCCTTCCTAGACACACACAAGCAGTTAACCTTTTGCAGTGCAGGGGTAGCCCTACTGCAAGGGTTAATCATTTTCTTAATTTGCTTTAACCCCTTCGTGACTGACGACGTACAGTGTACGTCGCCAGCATCTGGGCTGTTTAAACAGACTCCCGACTGTCGGCTTTACAACAGAAGCGATTCTGGCGACTTACCTGTCGCCAGATCACTTCTGTGTCCCGTAGAAGGGGCCGCCCCCCGCGCCGGACACCGCCGCCGTGCTTCCCGGGCTCTGTTGCCCCTCCTCCGGGACCGGCTTCCTTGGTGTCTTTTGGACCCCCAGCATCACCTTAAAGAGTACCTGTCACCACCATCTGCTATCACATGGGGGGCTTGTAAGCCCCCCTATGTGATAGCACTCAAAGTAAAAAAATGTTGGGGTTTAATAAGGAGTTGCGCTAATATTGTGCAACATAAAAATTTGCAACTACCACCATTTTATTCTATAGTGTCTTGGCATTTAGAAAATATATAATGTTGGGGGGTTTTACGTCATTTTCAGGCCTAAAATGTGGAATATAACATGGGTGCAGAAAATGAAAAAAAGGCCTCAGTCATGAAGGGGTTAACCAAATTAGGTTCTGAGAATGAAGAATAAACCTTTAAAAGGTGAGGGGTTAAGTACAAAGGTAGAAAAAGTCTAAAATGTGCAGAATAATTAGTATCTAGTACTATCATACCACCAGACAGGTTCCCATCCACTCAGACACAAGGACATCCACCTTGGAAGGTAACGTCAGCTCTTCTGCCCTCTGATGTATAACCTGAACGATCCCCAAGAGTCCATTTTCTTCCGCTAATCTCCTTGTTTGTTCAGCAATATCACTCGCTTCTACCGCATACACCTGTGAAGAAGACCGTGCTGAATATTTTCATACACAGACAGGCGACACCAATATCTCTCTCTTCCTCTGAGGGACACAGGATTTTAGGAACAATTGGTTTATACTGCCACTTACAGAAGGATTGGACAAACATTCTGGCAAACAAAATATCGTAGGCCAGCCCTATGGGGTGTAGCCCCTCTTATGACCAGCATGCTTCAATTTGTCCTAGTGTCCAAGGAGGATGAATGTCTTTCTTTAGCTCCGCTGAATTCAAGACTTAAAAAGGAGAACTATGGGGTCAGGGCTTTCCCCATAGTTCTCCTAAGGGTAATGGGAGGACACAAACTAGCGTCCTCCCGTCACCCAAAGCTCAGTATACCGTGAGCTACAACTCGCGGTATACTGAGACGCCGCAGCCAGAGCGGATCACAACAATTCTGTCTGGTTCCACGCAGCTGCGTGAGTGACAGCTGGCTCTGCCTATCTAGAGGCACAGCCAGCTGTACCCGCCCCCGTCCGTTCCGCCAGTAAGCGCTGGTGGATCGGACAGGGGAGGGGGGGGGGAATCCCTGCAGGGAGCTGTGAGTGACAGTCACGGCTCTCTTCAGGGATAGATGGAGAAGTGAGCGAGCGCCGGTGTGTGTTCGCTCACTTCCCGATCTAGTGAGCCGACGTGTGACAGTTTCATTGTCACAGGTCGGCTCAGATTATGAGGCTGAGTGAAAATCACTCGCCTCATAATTCTCCTTTAGCCTTAGCCTGTGCTGCTCACTCCTCAGTTGGAATGCTTTTGGAAGTCCCAGATGTGTACAGAATCCTGAATTGATGACAGAGGAAATAGAATTTTTGTCCTCATCATAAAATCTTTTTCCAAGATGCTCTTGGCATTGCTTTGCTACAGAACAAGAGCATACTAGTCATGGGAACTGGTCTACAGGTTTTTTTGTTTGCCAGTGTCCAATCCCCCTGCAGTATGACCCAGTTGTTTCCCGAATCCTGTGTCCCTCAATGGACTCAGAGAAAAGTACGACAATTCTGGTTTTCTATACTAAATAATCTAAAGTTCTTGGAGAAACTTCATTTAAAACTCTGTTTGTTTGTTTTTTTAATTACCCTTTTAATGCACTAATAAAACACGTGGTCCAATCAGATACCACATAACCCATGAAAACAAATATTGCACAACACCAGTGGGCTGTCACCCGCTGGCTTCTCTTCACCCTGGGGACTAAAGGAGTAACTTCTCTACAACAAAGTTACCAACTATGCCATCGTCTCACTGCTCCTTCTGAAATATCTGTAGTGTAAAATATATGGAGAGTCCACTGGGGAGAGTAATCCTTCTCCAATGGGAATAAAACCTGAAGGAAATAAAAGATTGTGCCAGTAATCTACTGCAGTGGAAAAGCATCCCAGTGGTCATTATGAACCACCGCACCTCTTCTGGGATTTCTGTATGTAGCAATGAAGCCCACCACTGGCAAACTAGCCAGAAAACTGCACATATAATCTCCTTCAGTGCCTACCCAAAGGGATATAAATGGACTGGATTGTTTTGGCGGGTGCTCACATTGCATAGTTGTTCATAAATCTAAAGGGGATTGTGCAATCAAACTTTCTTGAATGTGTGCTGCTTAATGATCACCCATTTCTGAATAAACCAGAAACACAATGTTACTTATACACTACACTAGAAATACACTATTCTAATACTCACAACATCTGGTTGTGCCAGCTGTGCACAGAAAAAACTTATTATTCCGGTTCCACATCCCAGATCCAGGATTCGCTTCCCTTTCAGTGCTGATTTGTTTTGTAGTATAACATTTCTGTATGTCTGGGTACGAGGTTGGTCAGACAGCATTTCCAAGTGTAGTTTCTGTGTGAAATAGACGGAAGTGAAAAGTCTGACTGATGCACACACCAAATTATCTGATCAATAAGGACCGCCAAAGGTCTCACCAAAGTCTTGTAGCTCCCATAATACTCCTCATCCTGCCAAGGGTCATCGTCTTCTGTGTCTTCTTCATCATTTACTCTGTGCAAATGACTGGCTGGCACATACCCGCAATTACCATTATGTTCAACCCAGCACCAATCCGACGTCACTGCAGACAGGAGGAGAACCCGGTCCCCACAAGAAACACTTAACTGCTCAGGAAAGACAAAGACCACAGGCAGAAAGACAATTAGATGTCTAAAAATCAATCAAAATTAGTTTTTGTTAAGTGTCACACGGTCTATGTGAGAAGCCACAATGTAAAAAGTTACTGTTCTCTGACTTCTGGGCTGTGCATTAGTTTCTGCATATTGACCACAACCCTAGAGTCTGAGAATGGGATCTGTTATCTAAAGCATTGGTTCTCAACCTGTGTAACCACATTTGTCCTTGGTCAATAAGTCACAACCCATATCGCACAGCACTGGAATCCACGGCATTGCAGTAATGCGTGTTCCGGTGTGGGTGATACATTTGGGTGCCATTCAAATGAATGGCAATGCAATGCACCTCCTACTCAAGAAGGAGCGATTACGCAGTACAGTGCTTTAATTGCACGGGACTGCGTGATTATTGCACTGTACTAGTGTTCATGGGCCTTCAAAAACACTGACAGACACACACTCACTATTTTTTTTTTTTTTAAGAACCACACAGTCTCCCTACCCTTTGAGAATTGGAGTGCATCCTCAGCCTGGGGTCCACTGTGAGCCCACCGCACCTCAAGCTGACACTCGGCGCTGGGCAGCATATTTTGAATGTCTGCTCGGCATGACAACTGACAGTGCTGCGCTAGGGGAAGGCGGAGGAGCCTCTCACCTAGCGCAGTGGAAGGCACACGGCAACCCACTAAACATGGGGTCATGACCCACCAGTTGGGAACCAGGGATGTAGAATATAGGACTAGCATAAGTGGTTAACTGGTTAAGCATATGTAGCAGAAAAAAAAGTACATCTCCATACACTGACTGTACACTATGTATTTTATGATTTAATACTCCAATGTTATTGGAAAAGTCTCAGCACCCCCATCCTTAGCTCTGCTGCAGCAACTACACACCATGCTCAGCTCAGCAGTCAGATGAGGTAATGTGCAGATCTCCCAGCAGTCTTCCTCTGGCACAGACATACAACTATCCGGCCTATTTGATATCAATCCTCCGCGCTGGGGCGGATTAACATTTGCTGCACTGTAGAGGATAGTGCAGGCCGGGACTTTAACTTAATTGTCGGATTATTCTGCGGCCCGAAAGTGATGAAATAGTTCCCTCTCTCCCCAGACCCCATCACTTCAGTAGGGGGCCTGGGGAGAGAGGGGACTGTTTCACAATACAGTGTCTCCTGCACGCTGCCAGTATGAAGTCCCCTTTCTGTATCCCTGCTGAAGGAGAGCCGCTCTATGCAGGGACGCTGCAATCCACTGAAAAAGATCCCCTTTTGGGTCGTGACCCATTAGCTGAGAACCAGGCATCTAAAAGGTTCTCACACAAGTATTATTCCTTGTGACATATTTGATCCAATTTCTAAGCAATACTAGAGGACCTTAAAGAAGGCCTGTGCTGATAAAAGCTGCCACTGCTAACCTCCTTCTGGAAATACTAGTTGCCTGCCACTAATTCTAATCCTCGTTAAAGCTACACGGTCACCGAAAAGAACTTAGCAAAGGCAGAACAAGAAAACTTACCCGTCTGTCATGTTCCTTGCTGGGTGCTGTAGTTCCACCCCCCTGGCCACTAAGTCCTCACTGTGTGCCATAGAGTGATGCAGTGGCTGGCAAGTGCTGTAAAGTTAGTACCATTTCCTCTCTTTTCCTGCTTCTAGTGGAAAAATTGCTACCAGGACAGTGAATGAGGATCAAACCACCACAAGGGTACAGACAGCAATAAAACAGTCTTTTCATATCAGATTAGGAGAAGGCTAGTACCCCTGCCAACTTTTTGCTACTGTTTGTGTCCCCATTTTACATACTCCCATAATGCTGTCACTGGGACAGGACATGGGGAAAATCTCTTGAGCAAGACCACAGACAGCCACAAAAAAAACGGGTAGAGGTTCTAACACTTCCTCACTAACTGGAGTTACACTTTAATATCCTTATCAACAAATACATTGTTTAAAAACACCGAGATAAAAGTAGAAATTTCCCAGTGGCTAAGGTATCAATAAATAATACTTTAAGGTCTCTTCAATTTGCAGAGCCGTTCACCCTGCGAGTCTCTGTGAACGTTTGCTCAGTGCGAACAGAGGCAAAAAATAAACGCTCCTAGTATATTTTCTTTTCAGATTGAAAGTAAGGTCATGTAAAATTGCATTATGGCCACTAGATGGAGCATGGGAAATACATATTCCCTATGCTTCTCAGCTCCATCTAGTGGCCATAATGAGTTTTACATTACCTTCAACATGAAAAGAAAATATTAGGGCTGTGGAAATTAAAGATTCATTTCTCGATTAATCGTTAAACATTTTGATCGATTAAAATTATTTTGATCGCTAATGAAAACACTCACCTCTCCGCCGCCTTCCGGGAGTCCCGTCGGCGATCCGGTGATGTCACGGACATCGACGTCACCAGTCTCCTCCCCCCTTCCCCAAGTGGCTCTGTCGGCATACGAAGGGAAGGGGGGAGGAGTCCGGTGGCGCCGATGTCCGTGACGGCTAACGAAGGGAAGGGGGGAGGAGTCCGGTGACGTCGATGTCCGTGACGTCACCGGACTCCTCCCCCCTTCGTTAGCCGACGGAGCCACTTGGGCCGGTGAGTTTGCCCAAGAAACTTTCTGCACGAGCGCCAGCCAAGGCATTGGCCTATACAGATACAGCACAGCAATGAAGTAATAAAATGAACTAGGATCACACTAATCCAGCACGTTATTATTCTGAGTTGCCCCACTCAAGCGGCGGCCATATTGAGTGGGGCACGTGAGATTAATAACGTGCTGGATTAGTGTGATCCTAGTTCATTTTATTACTTCATTGTCGTGCTGTATGTGAATAGGCCAATGTAGTTGGATCTGTATGTGCGTTATAATTAATCGATTAGAAAAAAAATTTGATTAATCGAACACCTAATTTGAATCATTACCAGCCCTGGTTTGTTTTTCGCCTCTATTCGCACTGAACACATTTGCAAATTGTTTATAAATCAAGCACTTATGTTCCTAAAAATATATTCTGTACAGGAAATAAGCCTGCCCTCCATACCTGTGTTTCCTCAGCAGCCACAAAGTCGCACATCATAACAAATTCACTTGGGCTGCAATCTTCATAGGTATAATGCTCCATATCGCCCATGGTAGAGGAGATCCGCAAGCGAGCTATGTCTGGAAGCTGCTCATACGACTCACCATGACTGCTTTCGCATAGATTGTCACCTTGGTCTTCATGTTCTGCCGACCAAAGATCACTTTCCATCTCTCCCCTGCCAGGTTGCCTTGCCAAGTAAATAGGTGGATCCCCAAACACCTGACTTGATGTCTTGTCAGTGGGATGAGTGCGTGCATTGTACATTCTACACCCACAAAGATCTGCAGCCTTCTTTGCTTCCGCACAAGGTAGTGGATCATTTTCCATCACGTTTGTTCTACAATGGCACAGACACCCCTTCCCGCAGCTCTCTGGATTCTGATTCCCCTCCTCTGTGCTACAGATAGCTGGATCCCTGCCCAGTTGTTTCTCTCCATCATTATTTATGTGGGTCTCAGTGGAACCTTCTGCATATCCCACCTTCCCCTCAACTTCAAAATCCCGTAAACCCCTTTCTAGCTCCATCATTCTCATTATCTGGCAGTCGTTGTGTATTTCCAGTGATTTTACAGCACAGTCACGTAGCTTGTTGTGTGTGTCCTTCATAGAACAGGATTGGCTATTATTGTCACCAGTAGCAGCTGACTCCATTTTAATTTTACTTTCGTTGTCTTCCATTTCTGTCATTCGTCTAACTTCCAGCTCTGCTTTTCTGTGCTCCTTCAAACTATCTCCACACTGCTCCTGTCCTTCCATGTCATCTATTTCTGATGGTGGCTCTCCATAGCGTCTTCATCTTGGTGCTACAAGGATGGATGGAATTGTGTTACTTGAATACGTTTTACAATTCTAAGAGACCTCTCTGACAAACTACACGGAGGTGCTGAACAAGAACACTTATCTACCTCCAGACTCAGCTACTCCCTCATCTCTTCTAGGTCCAGGACAGGTTTGTTATCATACTATCTTCAATACTGCAATCTCCTGCAGCCTGAGGGATCCCCCCTGTCTTGGAGCATGTGGTGGGTTTTGGACATCTACCTGATTTCTCCCTCTCCTGATTGAAACTTAAAGCGCTGCGCAAACAGTTGGCGCTATATAAATCCTGTATAATAATTAGGGCTGCAACAACTAATCGACATAATCGATTATAATCGATTATTGAAAAAGTTGTCAACTTTTTCAATCATCGATTAATCGGCTTCCGATTTGTTGGCCCTGTTCACGGCTCCACACAGCTGCGCGCCACACCTCCTCCCCACCTCACGCTCGCCGCTGCCAGATCCACCCGCATCCACGCTCCACCTCCTCACGCTCACCGCCCGCCCAAATCCACGATCGCACAGGGACGCAGGGAGAAGAAGTAGGGAGGAGCAGGTGTGGGGGGATGACAGCCGCCGATAGACAGGTCCGATCTCAGAAACAAGTTGCTGGAAGACTGCTCAGGTAAGCCTGAACTCCCTCCCCCCCACATGGTGCTCTATAATGTATTGCTGGGATTTGTATTCCTCTATAGCTGATGGTACATTGTGCTGTATATTATACATATGAATACAAATCCCAGCAATACATTGTACACTGTATGTATAATGTTTTGCTGGGATTTTTTTGTACTCCTCTATAGCTGGTGGTATTCCGCATTGCGCTGTATAATGTATTATTGCTGGGATTTGTTGTACTCCTCTATAGCTGGTGGTATTCTACATTGCGCTGTATAGAGGACTACAAATCCCAGCAATAGTACATTATACAGTGCAATGCAGAATACCACCAGCTATAATGTACTATTGCTGGGTGTTGTATTCCTCTATAGCTGGCGGTATTCTGCATTGTGCTGTATAATGTACTATTGCTGGGTGTTGTACTCCTCTATAGCTGGAGGTATTCCGCATTGCGCTGTATAATGTATTGCTGGGTTTTGTAGTCCTCTATAGCCGGTGCCATTCTGCATTCATTGCTGTATAATTTTACACTTTTCATTTCACTATATTGCACACCACACTTCTTTTTTTTTTTTCTTTTTTACTTCCACCGCTCCAAGCTTGCTCCTGTGATGGACTACCATCTCAATACAAACTAGTAGTCCTATCACTGGAGCAATTTTTAAAATTTATTTTATTTTTTTATTTTTTATCCGATTAATCGAACTTAATAATCGGCTAACTAATCGATTTTGAAAATAATCGTTAGCTGCAGCTCTAATAATAATAATAATAATACCCCCTCGTCTGTACACGTTCCTAGTGATCTCCCTAATAGAAGGACATTGGCTGCAACTGTTCTGCAGTGACAGGACAATCAGCTGCTACTGTCCCCAATACAAGGACAATGCACTCCCAGATAGCAAGGATAACTTGCCAGAAACGTGTGGCAGGGTTACATTGTAATTCTTTCTAACTTGCTGCACACATTCCTGGCAAGTATCTTGCCTCCCGTATATTGTTTTGCTGCACTCCCCCTCCACTGATAATCATAGATCAGCTCTCCCCCAGGCATGAGGACAGACATGGGTAATCCATCACTGTCAGGACATGTGTCTTATCTGCTCGATCACGGCGCGCTCCTCCTTTCATCATGACACTTCCTACCTGTGACCACTTCCCTTCTCCTCTTATCTCTTCTGACATAAAGCTGCTTCCTGCTGCCTCCGGTGTTCGCTCGTGCAGAAGAAGTTTTGTGTGCAAACAAATGCGGTCCCAGAACTCGATAAGTTCGAACTTTTGATCGATCACCGGCTCACACTAAGCTGTCACCTCCACTCCGACGAGTCTACTACATCCTACACACGGCTAAGCAACCCCCACCCACCATAGCTCAGTGGTACACCCTCCTACCATACCGCTCAGAGGTAGTAGTACACCCTCCTTATCACACAGCTAGATGTCCAGGGACGTCACTGGTCACATGCTCGGGGTTCACCGTTCTGGGCGCAATGCAATTCGGGACTTGTAGTTTCATCATCATGAGTTCATTTGATGTAGGAAAGCGAGAAGTGTAATCAAGTAACCGTGTCTGTTATGTTAACCATTGCATTATCAATGTGTCTACACCATCCCAATCCCTTCCTTGCCAGTGACGTTTGTAATTTAAAGTGTACGGGCAGCTGATATTTTTTTTCCTTTCTAGAGTGTGGAAGGGTTAGAACCCCTACCAGGTTATGTGCTGCTTCCCATGGCTTCCTCACAGAGATTTCCCCCTACTTCCTGTCCTTAAAATATTTTACATGACAGGAAGTGTATAGAACTCTCCAACAGCAACACAGAAATAATACTGACATCTTGTGGTCGTTTTGGGTTATTGCACCACCTTTTCTGTGTTCCATCCCATCTATGAGGTATTTCCCCTTCTTCATAACTTGTTGTTTTCTGGCATCAAAATGTAAGACAGTAACATGGCCACATAGTAATCTGCTTGCATGCTTGGAAACATTACCATTTCTGACCTTCAAATATCGTCTGTTAATTCATGTGCTGAATCCTGTTGTCTGCTGCATAGAATCAAGCTCTTTGTGGATAAAAAAAAAAGGTATTTGGTGAGTTCAGCTATCTGATAAGAATTGTCTGCAGTGATTATGTCTGCTTATACAGGCCAGGCATAGAGGTAGGGATACATCACTAATACAACAATCAGAGTCAGAATAAAAGGCCAGAGCCCCAGTTAGGTTTTTATTTCTGTCTGTATCCCTTTTGCAAATGTTCCTTTATTTCCTGTCAGCTTAAACTGTGGCCTGATGGCAACTGGTTAAAGAACTCCAGAAACATAAAAAAAACTTACCCCCCATACTGACTGCTAGACTGGTCGCCGCAGCCTCATCTTGCACTGGCACTGGAGGTCTAAGGATTACTGACATCAGTGCCCATTGACATGTATTAGATGTGAGGATGACAAGTATTCTGACTCCGATTGTTGTGATAGCGATTTATCCCTTGTGAGACCTCTATGCCTGGCCTGCCTGGCCTGTATAAGTAGATTCAATCACTGAGGACATTCATTGTCAGATAGCTGAACTCACCAATACCGTTTCATCCACAAAGGTTGCTTTATTCTGCACATCAAACAAAGGATAAAGCAGATGGATGGTTTTCAGTATTACGCGGTCAAAAGATGATGCCTTTCCTAGGGTACTATGCAGAGTACATGTGTCCTGATTACATGTGGCTGTTAGCTGTGGCCATGACACAGGAAATACTGACCAACAAGAAGAAGGGTGGGGCTTACATACAGAGGAAATGTCATCACATGAGGAAAGGAATACAGAAAAACAGGTGCAATGTCACAAAAGGCCACTAGATGGCAGCATGTGAACTATACATATAAAAACGTCCATAGAAAAAGGTATAGGGAAAACACACACTATATAAATTCTATCTACATTAAACTTCTATGCCCCAATGGGGCGGCACAACAAGGGTCATTCTGTAGTCGAAGTGAAGGGAGAGAGAGGTGAGCGCTGACCTCTGCAGGACCGAGGATCAGGTGAGTAAAACCTCTTTACTTGAGCCCGCTAGACAAACCAAACACTTAACCTTTGCAATGAGGGGGCAACCCCACTGCATGGGTACGTTTTTTATGTTCAGAGTTCTTTAACTGTATACTGCTTCTGGGTCAGGGACTGAAGGTATTGCAGCAAAAGGGTTGGCACAATAGCCAGGCAACTAACACTTGCAAGAGAGGCCAACAATGGCACTCTATACTTACAAGTTTCCTTTAAAAATGTATGATCCTTAATGCTGCAACGCACACCTTCCTTACTAATGCTTAACTCCTTTTGTCAGGTGACCTAAAGTGGACCTTTAACCATATCTTTAAAATAATAACAAGCACACCTTTAGAAATGTTTAGTAATGACAATCTACAAACACATACTTCTAGATAATTGCCGGCTTTGTATTCTTTGCTCCTTATTTCTCTTTTCTTCCCCAGTATTCTGACAGTGGTCATGTTAACTAAGGGCAGGTTACCTGCTCTCCATGTACTTCCTGGAACTCTGGCACATGTGACTAGGATATGTGACCATGTACATCATCTCAGGGGAGGAAAATGTCTTTCCCTGAGATCCTGTGAGATTACAGATGAGATTTCCCAGCAATGCTCTGCTGATGTAACCTTCCCAGGATGCAACGCTTGGGCACATTACAGCATTTGTGCCAGAAGTGGACTAGGAAGTAGATGAACTCTATTTGTAAGTAAATGAAAAACAAGTTTGTTTAGCTAATGAAT